CTACCAGTTATTAGCAACGAGTAGTAGTAGACTAATAAACATCTCAGCGGTTACTAGCAGACCGGTTTTTACTATAAAATTAAAACAAAGGAGTTCTAAAAGGCACATGTGCCAAAAGGCACATTCTCTAAATCAGAGAGAACACTCACAAGTTTGGGCAAAACACTTCATAGGTAGAAACATGTAATAACTATGGTGAATCCTGAAGTAGAACAAATATCCACTCAGCTCCAAGCTGACAGAAAATATTAGTGCTTCATAACATTTTCAAAGCTGAAACTTTTTAACCCCCAGCATTATTTTTAAAAAAAAAAAAAAAAAAACAGGATATTAAAGGATGACTAGTGATCAAGCCACCGATAGTGGCACATACTTCCCCACAGCACGCTTGCACACTTCAGCTTTCTAGCTAAAATCTTCTTCCAGAGGGCCTGCGGTGCCACTGCATTAATGCAAGAACTCCCCAAAGAGCCACGAGGGAGACAGCGCCCTAAGGGGAAGCGCAAACCTCCCTGAGCAGTCCACCAAGGCTACTGGGCACAACGAGCCTTTTAGTTACACACGCAGCAACCAGCAAAACCAAAGGAAGCAGCAGGTCATTCCATTAAAATGAAATTTAGAAACCCTCTAAGCACATCCCCCGAGTAGTCAATACCAGTAAGATGGGTATTGACCTGGTGATCCAACCAAAGCCAACAGCATCCCTTGAGCCACAGTAAACTGGGGATGGGCTGCACCTCCACATCTTCATTTTGTTTAGGTTAAAAAAAAAACACTCAGGAAAAATCTCTGACTTCCCAAATTCAAGCGACTTATCACTGCCTATTTTCCTGCTGCATTGCACGGAGTCTTTTCCAGTCACAGCAACTGGACAAGTTTAAGATCTTTTCATCTACAGTCTAAGAAAAGAGAAAGTCAAAATGTAAGCCTTTACATTTCTAATTTGAAAAAATAATCCCCCACATGCATCTCATGCTTTCTTCATGAAAACATTTCCTCTTCATTTTTTTCCTCATGTTTTCTTTTTCTTCAAAACAGTTATGCAAATCCAGTTTCAAAACTATTTTGAAGTGCCTGACTATTATTTGCAAACCTGCAGCTAAATCTTAACATGTTATAGTTCAGGGTAGATATGTGAACCTGACTCCTACTGTGGAACTGAAAAATAAAGCACGAAAAACTCTGTATGCCCTAAAAGTGACTCTATTGTCTCTAGCCACATAAGTGGCCACTTAAGTATTTTAAAGGTTATAAAATTGTGCTTACTCTCAGTTTTCTAAAGCAGCTAATTCTGAATGAGTGATTCAATTAAAACTCAAAGAACACAGAAGCTATGCATGTCATGTCTCTTAAATGAGTTTAGACAAGTTCTGTCAGAGTTGTAGAGAGTCAATTGCTCCTTCTCCTTGGGCACGGGGGAAACTCTAGGTCTTGCTGTAGATTAACGGTAATCGAAAGTCTAAATCCATCAGTCCTGTAACAGGAGTCCATATTATTATCACATGTACGTATTTCTAGGCATATCCTAAGCACAGTTATAAGCCTGACAGCAAACATTATAATTTTAAACATACTTATTCCAAACCAGTCAAATACCTGAAGTTACATGTATGCCTCCAAAATAACCACAACCTAAACCACCTTGTAACCAAGCATACACGGCAAGGGACAGGCTACTGTACCTAACAGTGAATATAGGGGGAAAAAAGGAAACCTTTTCTTAATTTAGATTATTATTTACTTACATTCCCCGGCCACTGAGAAATAAATCAGTCAGTACCTGTATAGGGCTTTGAACATTCTGCAAGCCTTACAAATCACTTGCTGTTTTATAGCTTAAGTACAGAAAGAGAAGATAAAGGAAAGCACAGACTCTGCAGCAAGGACAATACCCTCAAACTGAGTGCTTTGACATAGTTTCTAAGAAGGAATAGCAAGAGAAATTATCAAAAATCAAGCTGTATTCTAACTGCAGAGAGCTCTCAAATCAGCGTGGAGTCAACAATCTGTATGCTAGAATTGAGATATTCAGCACACAGATTTACTAGAAGTATTTGTAAGTCAGCAACGACTGTCAGGCAGAAGACTGTCAAGAGCAGTATCTATATATAAGGTAAGGAAGAACCCACTAATCTCACCCACTAGACACTTCTTAGAGCTTCAGAATAAAAAGTTTTAGAAAAATATTTTATATGTATGAATTATTAGGCATTTAAGTTTTTTTTTTTTTTAAAAAAAGAGAAAACCAAAAAGATATAAGCATGACAAAATTACAATGCCATCTTCTCAAAAGTGAACTTCTGGACACAGGAAGAGATAAGATGCAAAAAGCTGGACTGACTAATGTGATGTTTGTCCATCTCCAAAGTTTTTGATTTAAACTGGGAATTTATCAGTCAGCAGGGAATAGTCATAACAAACCCTGCAGACTGGACATTAGGAAAAGTTTCCCAATTTTAAGGAGAGAGCAGTTCTAAAACAACATTTTTATTGTAGTGAAAAAGGAAAAAAAAAAAAAAAAAGGAATGGATCTTGATCACTATGTGAAAACAAATCATGACATGATCACCTGAAACAGCAGGGACCTGAACTCAATGATTTAGTTAAATTTCCCTTACGATTTACAGAGCTATGAATATGTCCCAAATACTGGAGGGTGTAACACGTATAGTGGAAGTTGTGTTTCTCCATGTGCCCTTCTCCTTTATTTTTCACCATTCCCCAAAACCTTGCCTCATCTATCCTACCATTTTCCCCCAAACATCTATTTTGGCAGCTGAGTAACAGCAGTATCTGTTCATATTTCAGAGACAGCTCTTCCAAGACAGAGCAAGCAAACAGGTTACATTTGCTCTTGTGCACCCCAAAGCCTGTCAGGCTTGAGGTATCAACCCAGAGTCACTCTATTCCTTTTCACATGCAAAAACAGCTAAGGCTATAAATCTGTTTAAGAAAGAAACTGATGAAGGAAGAAAAAGAAAAGCTTAAAAGGCCAAAAGAATCCTTACTGCCACTTGCAAAATTAAATTATGTAAGTTATTTATATACTACGACAGGCATCTCAGAAATGCGTATTAGCAAGATTACATAAGAGTGCAGATGACAAGTGAGTGTACAGCTAATACCGAGTTCCCTGAACCATAAAAGTCAGCCTCAGTGTATTTTTGGTACAGACAGGAGTTTACCCTTTGCAGGCTGAAAAAAAAGGGTGGGTTCCTGGGTGCTTCAGGATCTCCAAGAAAACCATTATTGATATTTTTCCCCCCTTCTACACACAGGCAGTTGTTGTTCTTCAAGCTCCTGTGGGTTAACAGATGCATCCTGCTATTAAAAAGTAAGAGGCCAATATTCTTACGTTAGCTTCAAACTTTTCATTTGTCATGTTGAATTACTCGGTGCTTTCTAGCTGTGCCCTAAAATGAACACATTTCTAGCTGCAGTGACAAGCGGCACTTAGAGAACAGTGCTTCCCCGTGCTGAGCCTCCCTACCTCTGCAGCACTCCAGAAACTACGCTGGCTTCTCCCTCTGGCCACATATAGTTAATGGATAAGCTGCCCATGCAGGTACATAATTTTGAATGCTGAAAATGACCTCTCTCCTAGAGTTGTACCTATGTGGTTGTTTGACAGGTGCCAGGATCAAAAGTGAAAAGCAAAATACTCCCGAAGTTATACCTAAAACACAATCCTGAAGATGAACATCACTTTTTCACTCCCATTTATGGAGATTTCAGTGAAGGCGACCTGGAACACATACCCCAAAAATTCAGGGGAGTCGAGGCAGCCTCTTTCACATGGATCTTACCCTATTTGACTGCCTTTAAGAAAGAACACTTTGTGAATCCTCTTGGTTTATCTACTGAAGGCCTTAAATTACATAATAAAGGCTTTATTAAAAAGACAACATTACACAGTATGTTGCAGAGTTGCTCTCTTACTAGTTGGAAATGAATTAACTGAATATAAATATTACATCACTGTTTTAAAACATACTTAGGTCCTTATTTGTCTACAAGCTAATATAGGAAAATATATTTTAAGTATTATCATTTCCTGTATTCAATTCACACAAAAAAGTGTAAAAAAGCATTAATCTCTAAATTAATGAATAGCTTTTATGATTTAAAATACAAATAAACATAAACTAGAAGCTACTATGATTTAAAATACAAATAAACATAAACTAGGAGCTACTAAGACCACTAATAGCAATACAATCTTATGTGTATATTCACTACATACCGAAGAAAAAAAAAAGTATGGAAAATTAATTTAAGAAGCCCAACAAAAACATAAGATACTTAAATCCTACTAAATCGATGACAGATCAAAAATACACAAGTCAATGTTACATCTGATTACACAAAATCAGCATTTTTGTTAAAACAAACAGGACAAATAAGAGAATTACCAATTTGAATGCCTCTATATAACTAGACTGCAGGAGAGCTACTTATGCATTTTGCAGTTCTCAATAGTTGACGAATACTCTGGGCTTCCCAGGAGCTAGGGAACATCATGTTTTTTTTTCTATGTTTCAACAGAACAGCAGAAAGAGCAAATTCTCCTTTAACCTCCTAACACATACCTCAGTTGAATATTGAATCACATGCTAAAAAGATTTCCTGGATACTTAGGTAAGTCATTACACTTTGCACTGCTAATTTGGATTGCATTACGTGCAAAGTGTAAGATCAAGTTACCAACGTAACTGCAAGATCAGGGCTCACTTCCAACTACTGCATAACAGCACAAGGGCTGAAAAAACAACAGCAGCAGCAAAATCCAACCTGCTCTTCTAACAGCAGGTGCTAGTTGTCATTTGTAAATAAAAGAAGTCCTGTACTTAGTACATGTGAAATCTACAGTTACTCTGTTTGTTTTGATTATATCGCTAGCACTTATCCCGCACACACATCCTGCAGAATGTATGCAGGCCAAAAATCTCAGGGGAGAAAAAAAAAAA